AAAACTAAATACAATTTTTTTTAATCTTATTTTGTCAATAACAATTGCAATTTTTTACCTGCACCAAAATCCTTCGAAAACATTTTTCTAGAGGTGATTCCGAATCGAATGAGCTATCGCTCATATTTTTAGGACCTTTATCTCTATTTTTCATGTTTTTGAACTTGTTGATTAGACTAATACTTCTATGTATGATCTACAACACATGTTAAGAGTTTATTCTGTACTTAATTGCTTTCTTTTTTCCTTTGTGAGTTTTCCACAATTGTTAATGTCAAGATGGAGGAGTTTCAGTTGAAAAACCGTTTTCCCAAAAACTTCCCTCTTCTAAAAATATACCTTCTCGTCGCTATTGAAACCTATAGTTATTTATGACTTATTGATATGGTATATATAAAAAAATTGAGCAATTTGTGCGAGTTACTTTTTGTGAGGGAATTGCATCAAAGTACGAAACCCCAAAAACTTCACCAGATGTGTCATCATTGCTAGACTCAAACATAATAAGTAAAAAATCATTCCATACATAAAGTAATTTGAACGTCAAAGAGGTTTTTAGTATCATCCCTTTCAAGCTGTAGAAGTTGACTTCAGGAATCGTGTTTTAAGTTCATGAAAACAAGAAATTCTGGTATTCCTAACTTTCGGATTTTGAAATATTGTACAACTTCATATTTCGTGATATCCAGGCCTTGTTCAAACTTATATTCACACAACACTTTTAGTTTCGGCATTCGCACTCACGGTCGTTTTCCATTAACGGTTATCATAAAAAATCCCTTAGTTAACATAATTCTGAGGTGCGACTTAATCCATTACATACATGTAATTACAGAATTGCATGCTGGGAATATTTAAAAGCCGAAATTAATAGCTACGGCCTACAGGCTACTATAAAATAGGTAATTTAGCAATAGAAACCAGTGCGTAGGCCACGATCATGAAGGAAGTCGATCATTTCAGTTATGGAGAAAATTTAAAAGCATTCCAGCTTCATCACGTTCAAAATGTGGCGAATCTCGAATGAATTCATCTCTATTTTTAATTGGCATTGTGAACATGGTAATGGGAAAAAATTTTGGCTTTCACTTTTCCATCTTATACAAAAAAATTGTGGCAAACTTCCACGACTACATAAATCAATCTTATACTAATTTCAAACTAAGATTCAGTATAAATAATACGTACTAATTAGTTCATAACATTAAAACCCCTAAATTAATATTTTTTGATGTTCTAAATTCATTTCTTAGTATTCCGCCAGTAGATTGAGGGTTGATTATGCGCCTCTAAGGCAAAAACAACGTTAATCCAATAATCAAACAGGGAAGTTCAGATTTGATAACTTTTTTCCCAACTCAGAATCATTTTCAATTCATTGACAATTATTACTCATGTAGCAAGGGTCTATTCGTAATTATGGGAAACATCTCGAGTCCTTTGCTAGCTGAAATTTTCATGGACAACCTAGAGAACAAAATCCATACTGATAGGCCGGCAGCTAGGTACGTTTATTGAATTTGTTAATTCCATCCACCCTTTGATTAAATTCACAACTGAGATGAAGGTGGATAACTATGAATTTTTCAGACTTGACCATCACTAGAATCAATAACAAACATCATTTTGCAATTTTCCACAAACCATCTTACACGAACCTCATTATACACAATTTATCTATACATAAAATACCTTACAAATTTGTGGCACATCAACATATTACTAGAAGTAAATATAATTCGTTAAGCGTACCACGCTGCGATTAAACAATAGGACAGTGTCATTATAATTATTTGGCACCAAAGCTATATATATTCTTCACGTCCTGTCGAAATAAAAAACATGAATAGTATTTTTTTTTATTGATTCGGCCGTTACTTGATGAAGATCGATAGTAACTTCGAAAACTACACCTCACGTGTACATGTTTCGTTAGCACAGTAAGTAGCTTTGTCAAGTGATTTGAATATTCAAATCACTTGTGATATATTTTTCAAATGAAGTCAGTGGATATCAAATCGTGGTGTAGGTGTAGTTTTTGAAAAAAGAAAAAAGAAAAGAAAGAAAAAGAAAAAAACAAAACAATGGCTGTTGAATTGCTAAAAAGAAGAAATACATGATTTAGTCAACCAGAAGAATAAATGTTGAACTACTTCAAGGAAATAATTTAGTTTTGCAAAACTGTTATAAAATATATGCATCGAATATGCATGGTCACATTTTTACAAATTTTAAATCATATTCACAAATTTTATCTCACTTTTGCTAGATATCTCTCCTTAGAGACATTTTATATTTCAATTTTTAATATTTGATGGAATGTATGAATGTTATAAATTTTATCACCAACTTTCAATGTATAAATGTTATGAATTTCATCACCAACTTTCAATATATTGATGTTATAAAATTTGTCACACATTTTCAATTCTTCATTGTACTATTCTTAATGATCAGAAAGTAATTTTCAGAGAGAACTGATTTTCATCAATCAAAATATTGTCAACAATGGTTACGAGGTGGATATCATTGACTCAATTATTTCCAAAAATTTGCCAAAATAAGCTCTGAAACATGTCTATCCAGTCTCAAAGAATGATAGTGAACATTGACTGACTAAATTACTATGGTGATCCTACTAATAATATCGCCCGTTTTTTTCAAANCTGTCTGTATCCTTTGGTTGATTGAAAAACATAAAAACACACTTTGATATTGAATATTTATTCAAAAATCATCCTAATACAATTACTTCTGGATCTCTTTTCTCATAATTCTGAAAGTCCAACTCTTCAATTAATTCATCGCTTGACCGCCCTTTTCTTCTGTTCTTTCTGAAAGATCTTGACTTTGAGGAAAGCAACGCTTTGGGCCACTTTCTGTAAAGTTCTTCAGCAATTGCTACAGTATCACCTATAAAATACATAGAATTCGAATGTTCATATAATCTACTAGTACTATGTTGCTGTATCGCTACAGCGCCATCTAGTGGCGAGTTGCAGAAAAATTGAAATTGATAGTTTAAAAACCTTCTCAATGAAAAATTACTCATACATGTCAAGTTTCATCACGATCGGTTGAGCGATGTAGAAGTTTATCACTTACCAACCAACCAACTAACAAACATCCATTTTTATATATTAGATTCATTAACCATAATAATAATTACAGAATTTTTCACAATAAAATTCATCAAAAGGAACGTTTTGCTACACAAACTAGTGTCGGTTCAACTGATGAAGCTACCTTGTAGCGAAACGAGTCTTGAATAAAATCAATTGTGAAAATTTTATAATTATTATCATGGATAGTGTCATTTATTTCCATCAAGTAACGGGTTAGTGTATTCGTAATTTGTTTTATTGAAAATGTTGACTATGATAATAATAACGATTATCTAATGTAAGTTTTTTTATAATAAGTTATATACTTATGATGCACTGTTTGGAACCTTTGGTGTAGTAATGAATATTACTGGAGTTTTTTTTCCAACACCAAATCGTTTTTTTCAACACCTCGATACGTGTTTCGATCCCTAAGAGATCATCTTCAAAGAGGAAGATTAAAACTAGAAACTAACTCGAAGCTAACCCTATTTATGCTATATAGATATCCCATACAGGTAAGTTCCTCGTATATTGGTGGTATGGAACTCAGATGTATTTATCTTGGTTTTTGTCCTTTCTGAAAGTCGAGATTTCGTTCATTCTTAACCTAAACTTCTTCTTCCTTTTTATGTCTTGTACGTCTTTCTTTTGTGAACCTATCATGTGTTAGAGGGAAAGTCAAAAGACGATGCACTAAAAAATTTAACCCAGCACGTTTTTGCTGTCCACAGTGATGTGAACTGTCAGGAAGATGATCATTTGGTGATCGAAACACGTGTCGAGGTGTTAAAAATAACGATTTGGTGTTGGAAAAAAAAACTCCAGTAATATTAAAATAGTTATAGTAATAGTTATATAGTGAAAGAAAAAGATAGAATGTAAACAGATGTAATCGAAACCAATATGTCAGAAGAGGATATCAATAAATCATTTCGAGAAGCATCAGAAAATAACAACTATAATACCAGCTAGCTTGTCAATGAATAAAATTGATTTGGCATTGAATATGTTGAAAAGGTTTATATATTTTTACAGCTAAATACTTTTTAGTGCTGAATAAGATTGATGAAGATAGATATTCATATACTTTCAAACCCACATATATTCATTTTCCTTCCTTTTTCATCTGAATATTTCATTTGTCAGATTGAGTTTAGTTTTTTCAATCTCTTCAAGTTTGAACTGAACTAATAAAATATACCAGGACTACAAGTAGAAAAAAATCATGATTTCAATGTCAATAATAAAATCATAGTTTTTCATACCTTTAGATGTTTATGTCTCAGATCTTTTCAATAGACAAAAATGTGATTTTATCATTCACTTGAATAGCTTCATCATATTTTCAACTTCTAATCCTCGAAAAAGTCAGACTTAAATTTTGAAGTGATTAGTTGAAGAATATACTATTCGCAGTCTTACAATTCTTCAGTTATCCAAATAGAGAATATATTGTAAAGTACATAATGAATTCTGTTCATCATGTTGAGTTTTGAAAAGTTATAAACAAGTCCATGAAATCGTCAGAATCTATTTCATGTCACGCCTATGGGCACGACAGTTAAGGTGAGGCACTTGATATATGCCTCATTTGTTGATTAAATTATTCTACTGACCTGATTTCATGATAAATTAGTTTATTTCTCCCAAAGGATACAAAAATTCGTCGAAAATACTAAACATTCGAGAAAACATCATAAGCATTACGTGCTCTAGAGCTTTCATGGTTGATTTTATAGAAGAGAATGCAGTTTTGACAATCGTACAAAAATCATAAATTTACCTGTTGGTTGGATTGGGAATATACTTCTATCGAAAGTGAAAGGTTCTTCTACTTTTTTGAACACTTCCTGTCTGACCAGCGATTCATTGAACTTCGTTTTGGTTTGGAGAGATACGTTCATGTAATTGATGAACAGCTTCCACCGTGGCTGGAAATAGTGAGAAACAACACCTGAAATATTATTTGCCTGAAAAGTTGGAAAGCTAAATCATAATAAAGAGAAATACTCCAATTCTACCAAATTTGACCTCTATCGATTTTTTATTGGGCTCTTTTTTTCCCAAGGAATAACCTTGCCAATCTATATATTATTAGTCTGCACTTTCTTACCTGACCATTGTTTATTGGCGTAGTTAATAATTTCGCCATTTGGACCCCATAGGGAAATTTGGTTCCTTGCATTATATTCATACAGTTGTTCCTCCTGAAACGTATCATCATGTAGTTACTGCACACATGATTGTTGGCAAGTTTGAAGAAGATTGCAGTTCAAACCTGTTGGGTTTCCAATGTTGATCAGTTAAACATATTTGAAAACTGATAGCCCTAGATTATTTCAGTTCCACACGATACATAACAGAAAAATCATGTACCTACTTGCTTGTGCTCCGATGAAAAATCATACATTCTAAATGAAGGATTTCGAGTTGATGAATTTGAGTTCTAATTTCTTTCTTTTTCGAGTGATATAAATACTTTATATTTCACTTAGGATCATCAGAAGGCTATAGCAATTCAACTAACCTGAGAATTATTTGCACAAGCTTTAGCTGATGCTAACCAAGGGCCTAACAGGAAAGCTTTATTCGAAGCTAGTATTTTTTCCAAGTCATCAAATATAGTCAAAAACTTTGTAGCTTCTCCTCTGAAACATAATTCAATTGATGAAACATCATGACGATGGCTAGAAGGAGAACTACATCATCCGCTCATTATACATACTCAAACTGTCGATAGTTCTTTGCTTGAAAAGAGGTTATCAGTTTTTTATAGAAAATGTCTCCATAAATCTGTAAAACTTGTCTTGAAAGATCTACTAGGTCGTGAAGGAATGCAGGACTGTGTGCCAGATCTGTTGCAGAGTTCAAGAAGAGCGCCCATGCGTCAAATACGTAACTATAGTTGTACCATGTCTAGAAATCGAAAAGTACTACGTTTCAACATACTTTGATTTCACGAACTCACCCATATGTTGAGTTTCAGACTGGGAGTGTTTGTTATGGCATAACGGCCCCTCATTTTAATCAAACCACCGTAGTCGTACACAGATTTCTTGAAACAATAATATAATTACTATTTTTGATGTTCTCACTGAATAATCTTACTTGCAATAACTGCCAAGCCTTGGTCATATTCTCATTCAACACTCCATATCTTCTGATAGTGTAGTTTCTGAACCACATATCCAGATCAGCAGGCCCCGTCCTCCATGTTGACTCTGTCATCAGGTCATAAATTACATAGTTTTGATTGATTCCTTCGGGAGTCAAACCGGTGCCAATCATGGTACTGTTTTTAGTATTTCTAGCTTCCACAACTCTCTGAAAAAAATTTTCAAATTAGGGATGTCTCAAAATTAGAACAATATTTGAATTTGCCGCTATTTATGCTGTTAAGAAAAAATTTGACAGCTGATAGATTAGATTTGAGAGTGTACTAGATAATAACGGGGATTACTTGTGGAACCATATTGAATATGATTACTTTGTCAATTGTGAAGCGGGAAACCAGATCAATTGGTGATGATGGCTAATAAAAATAATAATTTATTCACCTAAATATGCAGGGTATTTCAAATAAGATGGTCTATTAGATGTAGCTAAAGGATCAAAACAGGTATTCTTTATAAATTTTGGTTACTATTGTAAGTTACTATTGTAAAAGGTAACTATTGAAAATATTTTTATTTTCGTATTATTCCAACATCTATATGTATCTGTAGTGGAGAGGGTGAGTGTAGGCACACAGCACTTAGGCCACATGTGACCCATTGTACATCCTCCCAAGGATGTCCTCTTAGGTCCATCCTTTCCAGGAAGGTGGACAGGTCTCTGGGAGACATCTCCTTTATATCGGCAGGTGTAGGCCAAGACTCGCCGAACACACACTCTCTTATTGACGATAACTCCGGACATTCGCATAGGACATGCCTGACAGTTTTATCTTCCTGTTTACACATCCTGCATTGAGGTGTGTCCACTAGCCACATATTGTGGAGGTGTTTCCTTAGTTGACAGTGGCCAGTCAGAAATCCTACTGCCAAACGTAGATGTTTCCTGGTTATTGCCAGATATTTCTTTGGCGCCAGCTTCCCAGGATTGCCCAGGGTGATCCTGGCGATATTGCATCCTTTGATTTCATCCCATCTCTTTAGGGATCGAGCATGGGTGTGACGTTTGGCTAGTTCCGCAATTGTCGAAGTCATCAGGTCGTAGGTGCCACTGGGTCCTAAAATTCTTAGTCCAGCCGCTTCCTTGGCTAAAGAGTCGGCAATGCGATTACCTTTACTCCTGTCTTGCCCTTTAACCCACCTCAGGATAATGTTATTATCTACCGAGGCTTTGGCTAAATCTTGGTGACATCTATATGTGATATAGCATATCTTTTTCAAATACTACTTCAAATACATTTTTGTGAAGCATGTCCTATACCTATTTCTAACCGTACTTTTTTTACCAAATCAAGATAACATAAAACTTTATTATCGCGTAACTCGAGTGATAAAAACTAAAATTTTGGTGTCGCTTCCATGAGGTACGGTGGTTAACATTTCAGAGTAAACATTTTTTCATGTAGGGTGTTTTAAAAATATCTTTCGGTTTTTTTTTCAATGAATGACAATAACTGATAATTTTCAAATGGAAAATCCTATATATTATCCAGTTTCTGAATACAAATAACCAATGTGATCGAGTTTGATGGGCTATGTCCCATATCTATCTCTGACCGTTTCTGATATATTAATCGTTTTATAATTTTCTGTGTATGCTTCACGTTTTGTAATCAAGGTGTGATGAAGTATATGAACATTACTTCATACTTGGTGTACTAGGTGATAATATCACAACAATTACTTCGCAATTATCACTTTTTATACTTAAATAACAAAAATTGAATAGGTGCCTGAAATATTGACCATCGACCTGTAAATATCGATAGATCTGCAAATATTGATGGATTGATGTAATTATATGATCAGAAGTGGATCTGTTGATTTCCGATGGGTCGATTCCTCTGCAGCCACATTCATTCATTTAGTTTCCATTCTATTAACTTTTTTTTTATTTTTCCACAGAAGTGAAATCTAAGAGGGTAAGATCTGGGGACTGGTGGCCAAATCCAAAGACCAAAACGTCGTATGCAATAAACTTCGAAAATATTATTGAGTTCTCTACTCACATGTACAATGTGCAAGAGCCACATCTAACCGATACCAACAATTCTATGTCTGGGAACCATGGAAATGCAGAAGTAGACACTTTCCTGAAGCACATCAACAACGTAAGTCCTTCCATCAATTTCACAATGGAGAAGGAAGTCCACAATGAATTGCTATTCTTAGACAGGACAGTATCTGAACCAGGAATCCAACCACCCACCATCAATGGACTAATAGAGGAATCATCAAGACTCAACTAGACCGTTTTCGGGTTCTGTAATACAAAGAAAGGTCTCGAAAAGGAACTAGGCATTATCAAATATGACCTTCAACGGAATGGTTACTCCAAAGTGATGGTGAAACAGGCTTTAGCCAGAAGACAGCAAGACTCCACAAGGAAGAGAAGCTGCCACAACCAGTACTTGTACTTCCCTACTTCAGATAATTGTCGGAAAGGATAAGAATGATTGAGTCCAAGTATAACATCAGAACCTGTTTCAGGTCTGGACACACTATCCGTAACAGCCTCACGAAAGCCAGGCCACCAAACGCGGACTGCGATTCCAACAATTGCATTTACCGGATACCCTGCGAGTGCAGAGAATCATACATCGGTGAAACTAAGAGGCCATTGAAAGTTCGCATTGCCGAGCACAAGAAACACACACAGCGAGGAGAAATCAGCAAATCAGGAATAGCAGAGCATATTTTGGACTCATCAACATAACATCAAGTGGGCTCAAGCTGAAAACATCCACAAGGAGGAACATTGTTTTAGGAGAAAATTCAAAGAAGCCGCATATATGTTGTCCAACAACGCATTTAGCCAAGCTAGCGTAGAGATACGCAATATATGGAAATCCTAATTAAGCGGAACACGACCAACTCCCGCCAAACGGTCAGCTTCCGCTAAAACTGATGAAGCGGAGAGAGGAAAGAGGAGATAGGTGAAAGCACTCAAGTGACCAATAAATAGTCAGATTTCTGAGGAATACGTCCAGTTATCACCCGAACACGATTGTGGATGCTAACAATCGAAACGTCATGAAGTAACTTTGTTTGGAATCTTTTGATTTTTAGTTTTCACTTTTTGATTTTCATCTCGTGTTAATAGTTCAATTTTTTTAATATTTTTGGTTGTTGCTGGTATTTTATTTCGATAATTCTCACGTGAGAATTTTGATTTATCAGACCAAATATATTTTTTCAAAAAGTTTGGATCCTGGTAGTTCTTGTTAGTACCATTTCGCAAAATTCTATACAATTTGATGGATCATCTCTACGCAGAGCTTGCATCCTGATAAAATTATCTAGGAAAATCCACCACCACATCTTCATAATGACCAGTCACCGGATAAGTTCCATTTTTCATGACATAAACTTATTCGAAGTTGGGATAATTTAGTTTATTTCTTTTGAATTTCCGTTGGATCAATGCCGGTAAATTTGAATATAACTCAGACTATTTGAACATGTTCCAGCTAAGTTCCTTTTTTTCTTTCTAGGATACGTGACAATCAGTCCAAAGTTAGTTTTTTAAGAACCAACCACTCCAAATAAAATCAGGGAAATTATAAGCAAAACAGCTTCTGAACCCGCTGCTGGGATCGATGAAATTGAGTCTCAAGTCTAGTGCTCTCCTAATTGCTGAACCGTTATCATACTTGATTAACGAGGAATTCATCTCTGCTGTCTTTCCTGATCTCAAAGAATCCAAATGTATTCCAGTATTCAAAAATGAAGGCTCTCGTTCAGATATCAATTACCGGGGTATATGCAGTTTTCTACAAGACTGACAGAATACTTAAAACACTCATTCATGATGGATTCAGTGAGAAGGAGAACGGTTTACGCCTATTCTATAAATTAGGTCGAGCTTTTGATACGACATATCATCAGTCACTACTATTGACGGTATTGAAGCTCTAGAGGTGGCTCATAACTATGGCCTCATCATATGTGAATAATAGACAACATACTACATTAGTGAATGTGGTCAAATCTGATAAAAAACCAATAACTATAAAATTCCCATAGGGATCCAGTATCTCATAAGTATCTCATACAAGTACTGCCACTAATCGTACAGCATCATGTGCTGATGATACAAATTTTCTCATGTCCAACAACAATCTGGGGAATCTGATTAATAACAGCATTCGTATTGCATTGATAATGTTAAAGCACTGTGTGTAGACAAAACATGAGTTTGTTTTTAATTTACATTTGCATGGAATTCAGTCAGAAGCAAGGAAAGTATGAAATTTGTGAATCTAGACATAAAAATGGCATCCTTCATAAACATCTCCCACTTACCTCATTGATGATCTCAGCTGAACCAAACATCCCTAGTGTGCCTCCGAAATCGTGTAGCATGCACCAAATATACGGTTGGCCATAATATTGTTCCAATCTGTCGTACTGTGGAAATTGTTCGGATTGGAGATCCAGAATTATCATCTTGCCCTTGAAAACAAGTTGTAAAACTTAACTCAGAAATATATGTCTGTCAGAAGATATCCAAATCCCATAACATTCCCTTATTATTATATCAAAAAATCATAATTTTTTATGTAGTTCAAGCTATTGTTGGCTATGGTCTGCAGGTGTTTATTCCTGACGTTTCGTCTACGATGAGGCAATGGGCAACTACAATTCTTCATCCATTGACTCAGCACTTTTGATAATGTCTAAACCGATCATAGATGAAACCAGACATGTTATGATCTCAGAGTAATAAAAAATAAGTAGAGATGCCCTCTGTATATAAACATAACAGATTTGTAGACAACCATGATATCTAACTCTCTCACAGTAAAATGTGGACAAGGGGAGGGAATTGTTCACATAATCCTCTGGACTGGATCCAGAGGCGTGCGGAAAATATGTTAAGAAAATTCTAATGACTATCAACTATTAATTCGATCGAAAATTCTAGGTTACGCCCATGCTCCATTTGTTGTTTACCTGTGAAATGTTACATCAACATGCAAGGATTGCGAAAATCCACAAACAATGCAGGTTTTCACCATCTTCAAAATTACTTTTTGCACTACAAATTAATTATATCGGTCAATAAGCACTCAAATCACCAAAATAACTTTCAAAAACGACGAAATATCGGTATTATCTATTTTTGTTAGTTGGAGGACTGTCATAAACATAAACAAAGTAATTTGGCTTCATAAACAAGGACAGAAAGGCATCTCTATTTATATCATTACTCTGAGGTTCTGATGTTTCATTAACATGAGCTTGATGTTATTGATCTCAGCCTGAAAATGGATTGATGAAAGGTACATTCCGGAACCCAATAATGGAAATTCAGACATGCTCTTGATGTGTAGGTTGGTCTAAAAGTTGTTCTTACAAAAAGTATCATCAAAAAACTCATGGAGAAGTAAAAGAATCTGGATGTATTCTTCAAGCAGGTAACAAGTGTATTTCGAGTAGCTCTGTGGAAATGGATCGTACTTGGTTGTCATTACTAAAAAGAGAGGTTGAAAACGTAAATATGGACCTTAACTGAACTGAATTCTCAAAAAACATTTAGTATGTGTGTTCATGTAGAGTGTCGTGTGTGATGTCTGAACATTTCATTCTTTTGACTGTCGAAAAAAATTTGAACTAACAGTTACTGACTAATTGGACTTTTCAGTAGTTTGTATTACGCAGTAACTTTTTGGGGTGACATTTTCAGTTTGTCCTTTACTACACTTCAGCAGATCCTGCTCTATTGATTCAGCTTTTATTTTTTCAGATTGTGTATGGTTATGAACCCATAAATAGATGATTTGGGAATTGAATATTCCAAATCTGGATATTTGTTCACTTAAACACTAATTAGTAGCACCTCCACCACTTTTACGTTAATTAAGCCACTACAACAAAAAACGTGACCTACCATTGGTATACTAGAAACAAAAGCGCGCACTTTGTTAGTATTTTCCCAATATGGACTCGAGTAGAATAGCCAGCCTTGCATGATCCTGAAAAATTATCAATTTTTTTTGTTAACTCACTTTTGGAACGGATGTCAAAAGGGCCCGGACCTTCGGACGAGTCCAAAATAAAATTGAATGTACGAACAACCAGCCTTGCATTACCCTGAGAAAAAAAATTTAAAAGCAAAATATCAAATACCAGTCAGGTATGTTTGTGAAAGTGATGCTCGGAAACAGGAAGCAACTGAAGGTTTGATATCAGGAATTACAGATTGAAAAACAGAAGAGATAAGATTCAGATTAAGAGGTGAATAATGAGTTGTTCCTAAAAAGGTAAATATGAATTAAATAGGTAGAAATTTGTCAGGAAGTAATTGTCATTCACTATAAAAGCATGACACAGAATTTGTTTAGTCAGTATTGTGACGCCTGAAGATGCCGGTGTATAGCGAAACAAGTATAAGATATTCACACGCTTATTTGGTGCGAACCCAGCCATATGAATCATGTTTTAAATGAAAAGAAGATATAAGTTTTACTGAAAAAAGTCTCTCTGGCTCTCACTTCTCTATATTCATACAAAAAATAGTTGAAAACGTCCAAAGCGAGGAGAAAAGCAATTTAGATCAAAATAAACTATTTTCATTCGTATCAGAAAGTTATTTCTATGCATGATCACCGCATCTTTGTGAAAAGTTTATTTCGAACTCATTTGCTTTCTTCCTTCCTTTGGAAGTATAAAGATGGAAAAGTGAAAGCCAAAAAGTTTTTTTTTCCTAAAATTATTCTCTCCGGAAAATATACACCTTTCAATGTAGGTATACATTTTGATTTTTTCCAAACAACATTGCAATCAATATCTGTATGGTAATGGGAAAAAATTTTGGCTTTCACTTTTCCATCTTATACAAAAAAATTGTGGCAAACTTCCACGACTACATAAATCAATCTTATACTAATTTCAAACTAAGATTCAGTATAAATAATACGTACTAATTAGTTCATAACATTAAAACCCCTAAATTAATATTTTTTGGTGTTCTAAATTCATTTCCTAGTATTCCGCCAGTAGATTGAGGATTGATTGTGCGCTTCTAATATAATATAATATAAGGCAAAAACAACGTTAATCCAATAATCAAACAGGGAAGTTCAGATTTGATAACTTTTTTCCCAACTCAAAATCATTTTCAATTCATTGACAATTATTACTCATGTAGCAAGGGTCTACTCGTAATTATGGGAAACATCTTGAGTCCTTTGCTAGCTGAAATTTTCATGGACAACCTAGAGAACAAAATTCATACTGATAGGCCGGCAGCTAGGTAAGTTTATTGAATTTGTTAATTCCATCCACCCTTTGATTAAATTCACAACTGAGATGAAGGTGAATAACTATGAATTTTTCAGACTTGACCATCACTAGAATCAATAACAAACATCTTTTTGCAATTTTCCACAAACCATCTTACACGAACATCATTATACACAATTTATATGTACATAAAATACCTTCCAAATTTGTGGCACATCAACATAATACCAGAAGTAAATATAATTCGTTAAGCGTACCACGCTGCGATTAAACAATAGGACAGTGTCATTATAATTATTTGGCACCAAGTCTATATATATTCTTCACTTCCTGTCGAAATAAAAAACATAAATAATATTTTTTTTTGATTCGGCCGTTACTTGATGAAGATCTATAGTAATTTCGAAAACTACACCTCACGTGTACATGTTTCGCTAGCACAGTAGCTTTGTCAAGTGATTTGAATATTCAAATCACTTGAAATAAATTTTTCAAATGAAATTAGTGGAGGTGAGGTGTAGTTTTTAGATCATGCATTGCCCTAATTTCAGTACGGAACTGAAACCTCTTCGAAACAAGCCGAGATATGTGGATATTTATCAGTCTCCTGTCAAGGTTAATTCACAAGTGATTGATCCACCTTCTTCTTTTTCAGTGCGGTCAGTGGACTCACGTCATTCTTGGC